TCAAAGGCAGTAGAAATAACAACAGGAGAAAAAATTCTGGGAGCACAATTGCATTAATGTTAAAAAACATAATTGAAAACATTTGTGACACATGGGATCAAGTACATTCTGGCAAAAGCTAAGGTGATTTTCAAAATCCTGCAAATAATGTGGTTGAAGGCCTTGGTGTTGATGCAAAAATGTAAAAAAAATTATTGGATTCAAAAGAGTTTAATAACAATGACCTTGAAATTGAACAACAATGCACATGTGAAGATGTGGTTCTAAAGGAGCTAACAATCAAAGAACTGGATGGAATATTTTGCAGTTTAGAATCTCTTCAGCAGCAATTAATGGGTATGGATCCAAATGTTAATAAAAGCATGCTTGCTTGCTAAGGTTTGTCATTTTGCTTCTTATTATAGAATTTATGCTAAGAAAAAAAATTAACACACTTCAAACAATTCTTAAGTACAGTTGCTAGAGAAAAATTTATCAATTAATGTATGTAATTTACAAGCATTTATTAAACAGATGTTTTAGGAATAATAATAAATGAATGTAAAAGAGTACCATGTAAGTGAATAATCAATACAGTAATCTATCATGGATGAATTATAATTTTATCAATAATTATTATATTTGATTAATGCTATTTTGATAAATGTGATAAAACCTGGAGATTAATTAATCATGTTAATCAAGGAATAGCTGTATATTTACATAAAATATTGGGTTAATGTTACCTATAATGACTAAAATGCACTTCCGGTTGTAATTTTGAACGCAATTTGAGACTGCATAGTAACCGATAGACAGGTCCGTGATGTACTAAAGTTACAATAATTAAAATTGGGATTTTTTCTAAATTTAATAATGTGGTTTTAAATTAAATTCTTAAAATTACTTACATTATTGATCCTTTTTTTCCTGACCGAACTTGACTCTGTCACACATGTTGACGAACTCCTTTTTTTCCTAGTTTTATTGACTTTCTCTGTTGCGGTAGCTGATTTTCTTTCTTCTTAATATTAGAAACAGAAGCGGCGGGCACAGTCTCTGGTTCTTTCCATTTCAGTATCCAGCCAGATCCCGGATAAATCATACCTAAATGCTTCATGAAAATTTGAAATCTTTCTCCAGGTATTTTGGCTGGCCAATTCATAAACTTTTTGTACATAAATGAATACATGTATGAGTCCAATAGATCCTCTGTGTAAAGCTTTGGCAGATTTTTTTATTTTTTAGATACACAGAAAATCGAACGATTATGGGGTTATAATCCCCCGGTTCTTGGGTTTATGAAGTTTTCTGAGTGATTGACTGTTCTAAGTTCAATTTCTAATCCATCCAGGTTGTTTATGTGGTTGTATCCTTTGCATTCGTCAGTTAATACGAGACTTATGTAAGTTCGCCGACTTCCTGGGGGGAATTGTTAATCCCGCGTCAGAATGATCTAGGGTCGAACGCATGTGGGTGTGGTGGAGGAGACACAGATGACAAGAATCTCACAAAAATCCGTTTATTTTAAACATAAAATTAAACTTACACCTAGGAACAAATATTGTCTAGATACAATCGACTGTTTGGACGTTGTGGATGTTTATCTATTGTCACTCGGAGATGGGCCCTGGGGCTGTGGCAGGTAAGGAGACTTGTCGGTAGGCATCGGCGGCACTACTCTCTCGATGGACACTAGTGCGGACTCTTCGTCTTCTGTGTGTCGACACACAGAGAGTTTTCGCTTCGGACTTTTTGGAGTGCAGGTACTCCGTAGCACAGTTTATGGAAGAAGTCTCTCTGTCCTTGAAGATCGGGGATTATATCAATCTCCGCTCTTGGTTTTGTTTTCTGATTGGCTCCCTCGTCTGTTTCTAAGCGAAAAACGATTCCTTTTCGAGTCACGAGAAAGATCCGCCTTGAAGAATCTACTTGACACCATCCAAAATGTTGATGGAACTTTGAAACTTGCGCTCATATTTTCCACCATTGTTGTCTAGTCTGTGACGTTTTTGAAATTTAACGACACGACGTCCTTTTTCGACATTAATCTTTCCTCTTTTCAAAATTTCTATGTTCTAATTATGTGCATATGAGCGACTTTTCAAAGGTCCATCTCTACTGGAGGTCGTTTGTTTACAATTATTAATTAATCATTTAAAATTATTACGTTCTGTTTACATCAATAAAGTTTTTTTTTCTCTCGTCGCGGTTTCATATGACTAACACAACTAATTCGATCTTTGATCGGTTTTTCACAATAGACGACTTTTTCTAGTTTCGTTTTAATAAATTTCTAATAATAAATATTTAATTTCAACTCATTTTTGGGTCCTCACACTTAGATTTTACAAATTTAGATATCACCTAATTAAGCATGTTTTCAGTCTATCATTTACTCAACAAATAAAATAATTATAGTCTTTGCCTACATATCCCTCCTACTACCCATTTTGTACTTTTAAGTTTCTGCCCTTTTTCATATTTACATTTACATATTACTGTCTCATCTATTTTGATAGTTTTATTTGGACCTCTAATTTTAAATGAGGTCATATTGTGCAAAGCAATAAGCATTAGTAAACGTATATGGTTGGACCAATCTATAGCGGCCCTTTTAGAAATACCTGCAGCAAAAGCTCAATTTGTTGAGGTGCATTCCAAACACAAAGAATGCCATATAAATGACAATATTCCAGCCCAGGAAATATTACCACATTTGCCCTTAAACGTTCCATCAAAAGCCAAAAAGTTATGTTTGCAATTGTTACATTGTAACACACACAAATTTCTGTCAGTTCAGAAAACTATTTTATGCTGTTTTGAACATACATTGCACACATCCTCTATATTGTGAGATAGCAGAAATTCCTATATTAGAACTAGTCTTTAATGCTAACATGATTCGAGAGACATAATGATTGTTGTTCGTAGCTACCTGAGAAAGTCTCCCATTACATTTTCTCAGACAACATGACGCTTTCTCGTGAACTATTAACTTTTGCATGGCTGAAATCATTGGTGAATATCGCCAGAGACGGTTGAAAACAGTCAGTCGTCGTTTGTCCTTCCGACACGGGAAACCCGCACCGTTTACTCCCGGTCTATCATCGATCAATGCCCATTTTGGATACCTTGTGCCATTCTTGTGCTGGTGGATATTAGCGTGGAACTAATCCCCATTGGACTATTATCACCCAACGAGAACTCCAATCTTTTATCACCGGGTATTTATACAACTTGCGCTTGTTATGTGAACTCTTTCTCTCTCCACGACACAAACTAAAAATGCTGTATCTTCTCCAGTTTAATTTCAATTAAATCCTTGTTAATTGTACTTTGAGTCTCTTCCACATGTTGTCTCTCCATTGGCTGACATTACAAATTCGTCTGTTCATGTATGGGGCCGCTCGCATGACAGTGTGACGTAGTAATCGCCGTCTCGGCTTCTGTGTTCTGCTAACGCGGTGGTGTCAATCCTGACAGGGCACTAAAGAGGCGCCGACCCGAAAGGTCACAATATGTTGTAATCCTAAACTTGCTACAAATTTAAAATCACTACTAATCCTTTGATCCAAACCTAAAATCCATATAATCAGATTCTAATAGTTGGAAAAATTTTCTGGTGATGCATTCCAACTAAAGTACATCTGAATTAATATTGACACAATTCATTATAAGCTTAATACTATCTTTGTTTTTTTAAACTCTGCCCTGTGGCACTAGGAGGGCCTTTTTTTGCAAGCCCATTATGGATTTGTCCAGGTCCACAATGGGGCTGCCGGGTGGTGAGGGATGGGGCCCGACATATCCGAATGGACCACCCCCCGAAAAATTCCTGGGGACTTTTCGACCCGTTTGGATTCGAACCCGGGTCCCCTAGAGCGGTAGGCTGCCACCTTGACTGCTCGGCCATCCGGCCGCAGCTTAATACTATCAGAAAAACCTTTTAAATTACCAATGAATGTATTATTTAACAAAATATTACAAATATACTTCAAAAATTCAGGAATTCCAAAACAACACTTCCATAAAGCATACTAGTCAGTGGCCAAAACTTCAATAACTGCTTTGTAATAAAAAATTTGCATATTCACACATTGAAACAAATCACAGTCATATGTTCTGATTTATGTAAATTTATAAATATCATTATGCAGCGCCCTCTATTTAACATTATCACTAAACGACCAAATTTGAGATTACCAGAAGTGCTGCCATTTTAGTCACCATAGGTAATATTAACCAAATATTGTAATGCCATAACCAGTAATTTCAACATCAGCATCAGGACATTCATCATCAGTATCACCAGCTATATATTGCTGAGAAAAGTGTAGTTTGCCTCTAAGATATTAGCTCATATCTTAAAAATACAGCTGATAGAGAAAAATATAATGTTTCTTCTTTTTCTAGGAAATGAGGAATAACTAACTACATTTTGAGCAGAATTTAGCATGATGCCTTCAGTTATAGTTTTTGCTCTATAACAATTAGTGAATTGGAAATTATGGTGGTACGGATCATCTGAGTCATCAAGTCTCATATAAATCCAATCTCTATAATAAGGGCTACTACTACTACTACTACTACTACTACATTGCTGAGTGAGGGCAAAATAAAAGCAACTTAAACACCCTTCTGGATTTTTTGCTTTCAAATTAAAATAGCCTTCTTTACAACAATTGCAATTTCTTCCTCTCACATGTGTCTTGCAAGGACAGTTATTTTGAAACTTCCACGAGTGTCACATTGGCATGTTGGTTCAATTTCTTATTGGCAGTCATCAGGAGTTCCACCAAATATACATGTGTGTACACATGCATGGACTATAATTTATGTTTATGTATAGGAATATATATAATGCATTTGTTTGTAGAGAAAAAGTAGTAGTATTTGCAAATAACAGAAAATTGGTTACTACTATATTGAGATGTTTTTATGTGTAGATACATATAGACATATATTGATACTTATACCTAATTGACCTGATACTTATGAATGTTTTTTAATTTATTTAGATGTTAAAAGCCAAGAAAAATTCTCTCAGAGTTCTCAATTGATGACAAAAGTGCTGAGCATTTTCAACGAAGCATCTAGAATAGAACTACGACAAATATTGATTCAAGCACTTATTAAGTGGTTAAATGAAAATCCCAAGAACCATCTTATCCTTCCTTGTCTGTCTGCAGCTTCTAGATCTCTATCGAACATGTCTTATTTGGTCCAGATTGCCGAATGTTGCATCGCTCAATATTTCTCTTCTAGTAAGTTAAACTCAAAGCAATGAGTTTTATAATACTAAAAATATTTACTTTAAAACATTGTTGGTCAGACAGCATTTTAGAGAATTTTTTTTTGTCTGTTAATATGCTCCTGTGGCACACTGCACAGGTAATTATGAACAAGTCTGTATATGTAACTTTCAACAACAAAAATTTAATTCATATTGTTTAATACGAATACTATTAATATTTTTTAAAATCACAGACTTATTAATATATATATATATCGTTTTTGTTAAATGAAGAAATGTTTAGTTCTTTGATACTCATCAATAATATCTAGCATCTATACATGTTTGGTTTTATTGTAGTTTCTGGCAAAATATTGTCATTTTATAGCCACATCTAGCATGTTATTAATGAATTGGTGAACAAACTTTCTGTTAACTGAGTTAAATGCATATTACATTTCTACTGTACTATATCAACTAACAAATGCAAAATATTGCAAACAGCAGATGTTAAGTTTAGATGTTAATCCTCATTTGAAATATGTCTACACACACTGATAAAATTTAGCACATGTTTCTTTGCCCATAGATGGAACTACAAGATTTCACACTTCTGTTTTGAGCTAAATGTTTGGAGGTTGTTATACTTTCGCTCTGTCAGAAATCAGAGAATGGCAATGGCCACACAACTAATTGTAACCAGTAAGTTAGCCATTCACTTCAGTTCATACAACTAAAGGAATGAACACTCACACCAGCTAAATTATTCATACATGGTTATGGCTTCCACAGGTAATTAACAGTTAACAATGAATTTAAGAATTTAATTTTGCTTACAATAGTACAAGGTATATGCATTCAAGTATATCATGCAAATTGGATTATATATACCCAATGCTGTAATTAGGGCGGTGCCCAGGCACAGTCGCTGGGGGGCACAGAAATGACCTGGACCAAGTTTTGGGGTGTAGTTACAGAAGCTCACACCAGGTGCATAAAAAGCTACTTACAGTGCTGTATATACCGTATTTTCACGGAATGACCAGCATATCAGATATTTCTGTATGGTAAAAACCGGCATGCCAGTTTAAGCAGAGTTGATAGAATCGTATATCTGTAGACTGGTTTAAATGAGGTTATACATCCTTCTCTAGAGGGCGCATTAAAAAAAAAATGAACGAGAGTTTATTCTAAAACTATGAAATAATCCTAGTTTTTGATTAATGCTGAGAGTATGTTTAATTCATTTTGTCTTCTTTCTAAGGATGTAAAATACTCTTGGAATTCTGTAAGTGCTTGTTTTTTTGTGTGTATTCTATTGTTATTTGATTGAAAAACACAAAAATTAACATATTAAATTTATGAAACTGGCTGTAAATTATCTCAGCTTACATTGATTATCATCATTGTGTGAAATTTGAGAGGAAGGTGTTTGTAAGGTCAGGGTAGCCCATACTGACCAACTAATGCTATCACTAATTGTTTTATTGTCTTGTTAACAAAAACTCTCTTCCAGATTTTAAGTCCTTCAAATTACAATATTATTTTTGTACTGGGAAGAATGTTTTCTTTAATGTTTAATTAACAACTGGTTTTGTTACATCTGATTAAGCTGCAACTAAAATATAAAATTGATCAGCATGCTGGTCATTCCACAAAAATACTGTGTTTGTGTATATATCAGTACTCATTGCAATTAAGCCCATCCTATAATTTTACATTTGCAAGAACATAATGTCTACAATTGCATTCCCATTGCACCAAATTTATTTAAAAGGTTCATGACCAACGAACATCTAAAATACAGTGGTGCCTTGTAATTCAAATTTAATTTGTTTTAGGAGACTGTTTAAACTTTGAATTTGTTGAAGTCCAAATTGATTTCTCCATTTGAAATAATGGAAAGTGAATTAATCCATTCCTAGACCCTAAACAATGCCCATTTCAGTAAACTTAAATTAAAACTTGAAATAATAATAAACTATGCATGATGGGTGGTGATATCCTATTTCTTAAGGTCAGTGTACAGCTTGCTTGGCTTTCTCACAAATAATCATCTCAGACAATATCAGCAGCCAATTGTTTCTCATTTAGCCACATGAGGAGTTTTTCCATCTTGAAAACCTGTGATCTCCTGTAGGTCAATGTTGTCATGCCTTTAGCCACATTTGCACTTTCTTGTTCTTAAGAATGGTGCACACTGTTGACTTTGGCATCTTAAACATGGCTACCAGTTTTGCCACATGTGCCGCTTTCGTGCTTCGTGATAAGTTTTTTCACCTCAATTATCAATACAAGTTTTCTCTCAGGTTTCATTGCTTCCACACTCATGGTTAATAGGAGGAACTATATATACAAACAAAAATACCAAAAATAAAGCACTGAAAACATGAGCATAACACGAGAGAGAAATGACTCAGGTGCACAATAGACAATGCCGACACAGCAAATACATTTTTTCACTGTGTGTGCAGTTTGAATATAGTTGCATCGTCCGAACTCTGGATAGAATTTCTCTCGAATTCAGTGTTTGAATTCTGGAGCATTCAACATTAGTCATTTGAAGTACAGTCGGCCCCCCTATAATTACGGTCCCTATAATTACGATTTCTATAAAACTACGAAAAAATTGCTACCGGTATCCGTAAAAAATAGTAAAAGTTCCCTATAAACACCTCAAACGTCATCGGGCAGCCGAACTACTTTCCCGCCGTCCGTAGCGCCACGCTACGGAGAGATTTCTATCGTCTGGACAGTATTATATAAATTATATATAAATTAGGTACTGTATATATAATTATATATTAACTTATTGTAACTTTGTTATAATTAAATATATAATTTCCGCCGTCTAGCGTGGTGCCACGCTACGGAGATTTTTACGCTAACTATCGTCTGTCAGTATGTAAATTAGGTACCGTAAGTCTAATACAGTACTGTAATTTTATACATTTCTTGTGAAAGAAACATTTCTTATTCAACGGCGATTAAAATTATTTATATTAATGATGTCTCCGAAGTACAAGGAACTATTAACAGAAAAATAAGTTATTAGAAATCGGCCGCGGTTTGGTGAGCTGTTCCGCGACGAAAACAATGTTGAGCAATGGCAATGTCGAATGGTGACACTTGGTAAGTAATCCTACAATTTTTTATTTATAGCGTAGTTTATACGATTATTTCCAAAAAATATATACATGTTTTGGAAATGTTGAGTCGGATTAGTCTAGAATCGATTAATTTTATGGAAGAAAATCTTTCAAACAGCCGTAGTCCGTAAACTTGATACGTGTCGGGTTGTGATTGGAAGGATTCATAAGAAAGCAAATTCCTAAAGAATGGAACGTATCTCTATCTTATAGGGGGGTCGACTGTATGAGGCACCACTGTACTGTCTGACTTACTGAAGAAAGTTTATAATGAGACATGTAAGCTATTACAAGATAACATGCTATGTTTTATTGTGAAGTGATGCATAATAAAAATAAAAGATTCACTTAATTTTTTTAATCTTCTCAAAATACAACAAATGATTGTGGATACATTATATTTTTGTCTAAAAACTTCACAGTCCATGAAATACACACTAAAACCATGACATACACACTAAAAATTGATCATAATCAGTTTTATGTGTGTATTTCATGGTTCTTCAAGCATTCCATTTTGGAATTCTGTTGTTCCTGAAGAAGGCCTTTGGAGTAGGCTGGAAGACATTTAAAATGTCAGTATTTCTTACTGCTGGACTGACTGAGGTTTGTGGATATGTTATATTTTTGTTTTACTGAGGAGTTATTGCTGAATGAGACGATTTAACTAGGCAAGTTACATAATACAAAATGCTAATCTACCATAGAAAATTTATTACAAGTCCAAAAGTTTGACCACCCTATTATAGATCATATTAAATATAGCTAAGTTACTGTTAGTGGATTGATTTTTTTATAGAAAACAGTTAAGACTTAAATATTGTGAAGTTAGTTATTTTCTCATGATTCATTAATGTTTAGTATTGTAATAATAAAATGACTTACAGATATAATTTTTAGGTCATTATTCAATTCAAGACACATTGAAATATTTGACAACTTACCTCGTCATATCTAAATCATTAGAAGAAGAATTTATTCAAACCTGTGAAGATAATTTATCATATCTTTCTCTCTATGTTTACCTGATTGGTTCTCTAAATGACGATCAGTGTGATATAACCAAAGAATCTAAAATTTTAGACGACGTGGTCGAGTGGAATCGACCAAATTATCGTCAAATAAGGTAAGTTTGATATTAAAAAGCTTTTTGCCTGTATTACTAATTTTACAAAATAGTTAATTAGAATGAATGAATAGTGCTTATTATATTCACAGCAAATTTATTGCTTATTAACTAACTATTTGTCCAATATGCATTTTGGCCTGTCTGGCCCTTTTCATCTGATTTTACAAATAATAATAGCAAGCCCAAAGAACTAAGCTTATGATAACAATCATACCTTATATTATATTTGTAATTTAACTAACTTATAATTCACAAGGTCATGCGACTTTTTCCTTTGGGGATTTATGAAGTATACCATCTTCGTGCCCCTGGTCAAGTGGTTGGGTAGGGATATGGTTTTAGGAGGTAGGTAGACACCCTCTACTTCAAGTGACACAAATGACAATGTCCTGGGGAATTTTGTAGTGCCATGAGGACTTTGTAAAATTAGTTTTGTGTTGCTTTCATTTATTCTTTGACTTCAGGAAGGAAATAATGGTGGAATCATTCCAAAAAGATGAGGAACAAAAGAGCATGTATTACAAAGAATATCATAAGAATACACTGCCTTCATATTAAGTCTTCTATGAGCACTTAAGATTTTGTCAAGGGTGCACCACATACGGCCCCTTATCAATGTTTATGCAGCCTGCGGACGGTACAGGCCAAATCCCTTCTTTCCAAGTTTCTAAGTGTAGAACTTTTCCCTTTCACAAAGTCATTAGCACCCAACTGTTTTATAACTTTCCCTGAAGTGAGAAATGGGGGTTGTTCTATAAATAAGTCTATTTCTAGCTAACACTTTCTGGTTTAGATATGAATATTCTAAGTCTAATACATAGTATTATAACGATTTTTTGAAGAATCAAATAAAATAAAATGATGTTAGAATGTCATTTCCGATGTTATCAGGAAGTTTCTATTTTGGCGGGAAATCTTCAATTTTATGCTTCGGAAAACTTGCTTATTCGTCTAAATCAGGGGTCGCCAAAGTGGTCGATATGGACCCCCAGGGGTTGATGCAACATCATTGTGGGTCGATGCGGCTAAGGGGTCACAACCTTTTTTTTTGCTTACACAGAGACCACAACCCACAATGTTTTTTTTTTTTTTTTCCGATCATACATACACACTTGTAATAAAACTTTACGGTGGGGGTCAATGTGAGGCTTTGGAAAGTGATTGGGGGTCGACGGTTAAAAAAGTTTGGCGACCCCTGGTCTAAATAGAGTCAAATAACAAAAATAAGTAAAAATAGCACTGAAAAACCATGAAAATAACGATTTTTTAGCACTTGTTTACATTCTAGATTCTGATTGGTATAGTCGAATTTGAATCAAACTTTTCTGAAAAGATGCTTATTCGTCAACCTAATGCCATTCAAACTAGAAAAAACTAACCAGAGTTCAAAAAGAAATGTACAAAAAGCTATAACAACCAATAATTTACAACAATATCTCTCCATAGACTAAGAATAGAAAAAAATTTTTTCGCATCAAATTTATTATTATTAAGTTGGACCAAGAAAATTAATACTGTAGTTGGAATAGAGTCATTACGACTAAAAGGAAGCCATTTGCATTAAAATATTTTGGATTTAATAATTATTACAAACCGCGTCAAGCCATAAACTTGTCAACAAAGAGGGTTGTAAAATGATTCCGTGTAGCTAGAAAGCTGCGGTTTTTTTTGTTTGAAAGAAAACAGATATATTTAGGTTATTTAAGTAGTAAATTAATTGGAACTTTTTATTTACTTTTATTTTTACATTCTTTTTTTCGTAAATTTAAAATTAAATTATTATTTTAAATTTTTATTTTATTTGAAATTTAACAATCGTAAACTGTGATATATTTAGGAAAAAAAAAAAACAGATTGATTCTAGCGCCAATTTGAAACGAGATATCGCAATTTTAATAATTATATTTAAAATATTCAGATTTTCCACTGCACTGTGTTAATCACTTTTGATTCATTTCTGAACACGGGGGTAAAACTGACGGGCCATAAATATAATTTAGGTAAGAATGGTAACCACATTTATGATGGATTAGTGTCCTGCACCTGGCATGTTGACGATCTGACTCACAAATTCTGAGAAATGGTGGAGACGCCCGGACAGGGGTCAAACAAATTAAGACCTGCCTGGCCACGTGTGCGTAATAGTCTTCTGTCCCCGCCTCTTTAGTCTTTGGTCAGAGTGGATACAGAACAAAGCACGTGGTAGTCTAGCTTGCCTTATCTCAAACATGATTTGTTGCGGGCCTCAGAATTTTCGGCACAATGAGACATTGTTTTGCAGAGTGAACAGTATGGCGCCGGGCATTAAACGCAAGGTCAATCGCGAGAATCATCAGTTTCAAGAAGTGGAAGTGTGGACTAACAAGTACTGTTTTGTGCAACAGAACAACAGCATTATTTGCCTTTTGTGCAATGGAACAATAGCAGTGCCAAAAGAATTCAACCTGAAGCGACATCATGAAAGCCAACACAAGGATTTCCTTCTGCAAGGTACGGAACGCAAACGGAAAATCGAATCGTTACGACGATCACTAATCAGCCAACAAAATGTGTTCAAGAAACAATCTGGAGAATTGGATGCGGCTGTTGAAGCCAGCCTAGAAATATCTGCTTTAATAGCCAAGAATGGGAAACCTTTCACAGATGGCGATATGATAAAAAAGTGTCTTATCATCGCAAGTGAGATGTGTCCTGAGAAGACAGTGTTTTCAAACAATCAGTCTTAACCACATGACGATACAACAAAGAATCTCGCAAATTGCATCAGACATTTCTGGCCAACTTAATATTTTAGTTGCAAACTGTGCTTATTTTTCTTTGGCTGTGGAAGAATCCACTGACATATCATCAACAGCACAAGTGATTGTGTTTATTAGAAGTGTTTCACTAGATTTTATTGTGAATGAAGAATTTCTTGGCATGGCATCACTTTCTGGACATACAACTGGTGCTGACTTATTTACTAGTTTATTGAGCGTTTGCAACAAATCAGCACTGGACTTTGACAAGCTATCCAGCATTGCCACTGATGGAGCACCATCTATGGTTGGATGTGAGAATGGCATGGTCACCTTGCTGAAAAACCACCTTGGGGACAGGCAAAAGGAGTTAGTCCAGTATCATTGCATAATTCACCAACAGCAACTTTGTGCAAAGAAGCTGGGATTTGAACGTCTGCTGAAAGATGTATATGATACTGTGAACTTAATCCGCCGTCATGGACTCAACCATCGACTCTTCACATCATTTCTTGAAGAAATAGATGCTGATTATGCTGACCTGCCCACGTATACTGAAGTTCGTTGGCTGAGCAAGGCAACAGTCCTCAAGAGATTTGTGGAGCTATTGGGGCCTATTATCACTTTCCTCAAAGAACGGGGGAACACTACAAGGAATTTGGAGGGACAAAGATGGCAGTGTGATTTAGCTTTCCTTGCTGACATTACTGCTTATCTAAACGACCTTAATTTGAGATTGCAGGGAAAGATGCAACTTGTTTCTCAGTTGACAAGTAACATCAATGCATTTATGACCAAACTATCACTTTTCAAGTCCCACATGCAATCAGAGAACTTTACACACTTTCCACATTGCAAGGCCATGAAAGAGAAATACCCACATATGAAGATGGATTACTCTGACCAAGTTAACACCCTCCTTACATCATTCAATGAGAGGTTTGGTGAATTCCAGAAATACAAGATCTACCTGCAACTTTTTTCAACTCCATTTGATGTGAAAGTGGAAGATGCCCCTCCAGATGTCCAACTTGAGTTGATAAGACATCCAGTGCAGTGATGAATTGAAATCACAGTTCAAAAATTCTAATCTCCTCACATTCTACAAAGAACTACCAGATACATCATTTCCAAAACTGAAAGACAATGCTCGATTTTGTGCAAGCATGTTTGGCAGTACCTATGTATGCGAACAGGCATACATAGGTATTGCCAAACAAGCTTGCAAGTTTTCACTTATGAATTTAAACAAATGCAAAACACGGAACAGGTTAATCAACGAGAATTTGGAAAATCTGCTGGTTGTTTCAACGTCTGCCATTACACCAGACATCAAGAAGATTGCCACCAGCATCCAATATCAGCCATCACATTAATTGCTTGGAGGTCCGGCCCCCAGTCAGTAAACTTAATCCTAATTTGGCTCTTCTTCACAAAAGGTTGTGCATCCCTGATTTTGTGCTCAGTAAATTAACCAAGTTTTTTGAGTGACCTACCACATCCTCATGAAATGGCAGGATAATTTGATTGGAAGACCTTTTCAAAAAATTATTCACCAGTGTCAAAGAATCTTCCGAAACAACAACATCTCATCGACATCATAAACCAGTTTCGGTGTACCTCTGGTATTTTCACAAGTGGCCTCCCTGTAATATTTGCATTGCTTAGCGAATAATATGTGTTGTGAAGTTCTGGAATCAGCCCAAAAGGCTGATTCCAGAACTTCACAACACACATTATTCGCTAATACAAATAGTACACAAATAGTGACGTCTGTGATGGTACCGGTGGAGGAAGTCCATTATCCATTACTTAAATTTGTTTTAAGACAAGAGGAAATCAGTAAAATCAACATTCGGGTTTTTGTCATGTTGATCTTCCATGAAAACAAAGTGATATCAAAAATAGAGAATCATTGTCTATCACTACATGCACTTCATTTAGAATGCACAGTATTCACAAAAGCAGAGTTATTTTATACCCAAACAACAGACATGCCACCTTCCCATTTTGGTTTTGTTAAAAAATGAAAGATTTTTTACACAACTGGCAAGCTGTATACACAGGACTTTTTCCTATTCTCTTCATTTCCACATTATAGAAATGAAAAAAAAATAGAATAATTCTAATGTTTTTTATTAATTAACAGGAGGCTGTAGAAAATTGCTGTTAATTTTTATATCATTTACTTTGCTCCACAATGCATCCCATTAGTCATCCGTTAAAACACTCAAATTTAAATTTGTTTTTATAAATGTTCTAAAAGTAGCACTTCACTACTAAGAATTAAAGTAGACCAGTATATAAAATTGCAAAATTGTAAATTTTGTGTTTTTATTATTCATAGCAATGACTACGAAGCCAAATTGATTCTTCTTTGGGACATAATATTGGCCATGTGCCTCAGACAATTAGCTCATGGCAAACAGTTGGTAAGTTTTCTTAAGTTTAACAGTTGATTGCTTATTACTGATGTTAATTGTTGATGTTTTTTTCTACGTAGGTTGCAAAGATTGCTCTTGAGAAATTCAGCAAAAAGTTAATTGAATTTGGAAAAGAAGGTTCCATTCTTAGCAAGGTTTTTAAAAGCCCTCCATCATTTAGTACTCAGTAAGATATATTACTACTATTCTTGAATTTAAGTTAGTGACATAGATAGATAATTACAAAATATGATAGAAACTTCAATATTTTTTAATCTATGATTTTATGAATCACATATAAACAGCAAAAAGAATGTTTTGACAGGTAATTTTGCATTGTCAGTCAAAAAGAAAGTTCAAAAGAGAACATTGGAGCCTGTGACATTTAAAAGTAGAAAGAGTAAATTACTGGCAGAATTTGGTATTGTATCGTGGGTCGGCAATCTGTAGCACACGGGACGATTTTCAGTGGCATTAATTTTTATATCATTTCTATTCAATTATTGTCTTCCATTTAAATGTGTAATTATAGTTCAACAAAGGCTCTGGTACAGTAAAAACAAATCTCTTGTTCATATATTTCTATTACAGCTCGTGCATTTATGTTCCATGTCGCCATCTGTGTGTTATGCAAGCGCTTCACATGTAAGAACATAATTGAATTAACAACTTAATTTCAAAATTAGTCTGGTTATAATGGACTTTGAAAATTTGCATAACATATAAGTTATAGTCTTATTCTGAGTGCCGACATGATTCTACCATGTTTATTATATGTTTGGCACAACACTGCTGAAAGGTTGCCGACCTGTGGTCTATCACATTCTATATTCATCTGGTATGAATAAACTAAAACCATAAAGGTTTAGAGTAAAGTGAATATAAACAGTTAGAAATAAAGTTTACAAATCGATTTTATGGGTGCCTTTCATGTCGTTTACAATTACATTTCCCAAGGGATCATTTTTAGGAAAGATTCAAACACTGAATAAATTTATAATAGTATAGAAAAATTGTTGATGCAGTGCTCTCCAAAAGAGACAATAATTGTACAATGCGGCAGCTTCTTGGTCAATCGCTGGCAGAGAAGACACTGCATCTACTATACCCATTGCCACAGCAAAATGATGCAAAAGATGCATATAAAAATAGGATTCTAGTAAGATGTTTTACATAAATTCACACTTACAATCATTACAATAGATAATATTTAATTCCTACAGTTTAATTTACCAAGTTATAAAATAAGCCCTTTTATAACTTGGTAAATTAAACTGTGGGAATTGAATATTACCTATCAAATCAAATCATCTTTGGAAACAAAGCAAATTTTCACTATTCTCTCTCACCTGCAGGTTCAGGTTTATGTGCAGAGTGATGGCAGCTTTCATTACGGTGCAAGTTCCCGAAGAAGGAAACATCAGAGTGGAGTCATACGCTTCGGGACATGTAGTGTACAACTCCGGTCCCTGTACAGCTACTGAAGAAAAGTGTGTACCTAGTCTCTTGGCACAAGAAAGTGTCAAACAACTGAACTATCTTTCAAAGAACAAAAGCTACGGCGGGTTGAGGGAACAAATAGACGAGGCCTTAAATATCGTCAACAATGCCGAATTCAGTTTTGTAAATAGCAGAGAAGTTTTGAAGAAATTTGCCAAAATTCTTTACGATTTTCACCAACACAAATTTCTTCTCTTGTTGACCGAAGAAGTTTATTTAAAAAAGTAACATTTCATAAAGTTTTTAATAAATATTTAAAAATAAAAAACGTTTCTATTGTTTAATTTGGTTTAAGTTCTAACACAACTCGATGCCTTTTTTAACCCATACTGTCCGATCACAGACGAGAGCCTTAGACTTTACTGTGCATGGTCAAAAAAGACTAATCTATTATGAATCTATTATGAAAATATAGTAGTTACTTTGTTTAATGACAAACTAAATTATTTTCCAAATTTAGCAAATGATATTATACTTATTACTATAATAACTATTAATTTGCTTTTTAAAAATCTAGAACTAAATTATGGATAATGCTGGAAATGTACCAACTGGGGCTCCAGGATCTGTGGTCCAACGATAAATCTGCTTGAAGTTAAAAAACCCTGCAATGGTATTTTTTCGTATATAGAAAAAAGTAAAGAATTGCTAGCATGTATTATGAAATACAAAACTAAATTATTGATACATTGGAAATTTACAAAATGTAATTCTAAGATTCTTGAGTGATGTTGGTTTTAAAACTATTAAATTACAACGCAATGGTGACTTGTTCCAGGAAATTATGTTACTGGAGGCACCTTACTGGCTACATTCGACAGGCTCTATAGTTCTGAAACTGTTGGGTATTTTTCTGCCAAACACCCTCTGTGGTAGTGCTGTTTTGGAACGTGTACGGTGTTATCGTGTCACATTTAGTAGCATGTTTCATTTATGCTACCTTTTGCTAGCTGCAACTGATCAATGATGGCTGCACCCATGCAAGAGAATAAAAACATTATGTTGTCCTTCTCAATGTTTTTTAAATTCTTTGAGGGAATTACATTGTTATTGAATGTAAAAAATTCCAATTGATTTATTTTATAATTCATTAATAATGTACAAACTTTTTGAAATTAATCATTTCCATGAGGAGGGGAGGAGAGGTTACATGAATTTCTACAACTGATGGTTTGTTTGCATCTATATATATAAGGATGTTTGTTCACTGTACAGTACACTCCTAGACTGTTTGACCAATTGCTACGAAACTCTAACTTAGAGATATTTGAACATAACTGGAAATAATGCAGACCTCACACCAAAGTAGATATTGATTTACAGAAATCCAATAATATCTACATTCAATTTGCTGATTAAATGTAGCACCATCTATTGGCAAAAAGTTTAACAAAATAAACTAAATCTAATTCTTTTAAAATATATACAGTATATCCTTTTTTATAACTATATTGTATTTACTTAATTATTGCAACAGGTAGCACATAGCTTAGCTTAGTTAGTTGTGGGTTCAGGCATAGCCAACATTCAGTTTACCAGGTTTTCTTCACCTAAATATGGTCGGGCTTCCCATAAAAGTCTTTGAGGGATGCATGTTTCTTGGCAGATCACTTATGTGTAGCATTGCAGAAACAAGATAAACAAAACTAATTCTAACTAGCAATTATTTATTGCGACATCATCACAATGCCAGGCTGCAACTTTTCTTTGCAATGTTTTCAATTCTTTTAGTTGAGGTCTTGCCCCTGTACGTCATACTTTTTCTGTTAGATGACCGACACAACTCTGTTGCTAACTCCGTTCAGGAAAAAGTTCGAATAGAAGTAATGTGACTTTCATTTCAAACCTGAAGTTTGTATATAGTTAAACTTAGGGGCAGGAGGCCCAGATTTTCATATAAGGACTTTCCTTAATCTTTGAGAAAGGAATAAATGGAATAGATGAGATAGATGAAAGATAGGCAGACACATACATGAACTTCCGATTTGCAATGGAAGTCACGTTATTTCAATTCAAAAATTTTCCCCAGAAAGGTGTTAGAGGGATGCTGGCATGACACTACTAATTTGAGGAGGAGAACATATTTTTAATTTATTTCATTTAAAATATATGTTTAAAAATTGCAGCCTGGCATTGTGATCATGTCACAATAGATAGTTAATCGTTATTATTAACTTCTCATATAATGAAAATTACAATAAACTAAAACAAAGTGTTTATAAATTTCCACTCTTAATTAACAAATTTTAAAAATCCAATTTAAACATTTAATTTGCAATTTTATATTATATTACATACTAGCAAATGAGCCCGGTGTTGCTTGGGCAAAAAATAAAACCGGCAAAGATTATTTATTAGATTATTTTGTACTTCTAGTCCTTCTATTATAGTATTTCATAGTAAATATAAATGTTTGTAAATATACTATACTAGCTGTTACCTGCAGCTTTGCCCATGAGGATTTTGCAAGCAAACACTACTTATATTCAGTATTTCAACAACCATAGTAATTGTTATATAACACCTACCGCTGAGAATCAAATGAACTATTTTCAATTTGATCAATTTTCTGGAATGTTTACAATCATTCTATAATCAAACCAATATGCAATAACAAATTTGAATTTAAAACGGTTCAAACATTTTTAAAATTGAAATAGATAAAAGTATTTATAACAATGTCTGAAATGTTATCAATTTAATACACCTAAGTACTCGATGAAGACTAAACGTAGTTGAAAACAAAATATCGCATCTAAAATAGTACAGTAGAAGCTGTTTTTCCGGTTAAGCCTTAATCCTCTCCCTCTCCCCTCCGCTTAGGAATTTCGAAAAATCCCTTCTTAGTGCACATTCTCATGATATACCTTAACTGTGTACCAAATTTTACCTCTTTAGGTTCAGCGGTTTGCTCTGGGCGATTATGAATCAGTCATTCACTCAGTCAGTCAGGACAAGTAATTTTATATATTTAGATTTACAAAGGTCTATCACAACAAGTGACCAATCTAACACATTTTTAAAAGTTTTTAAATTGTGTACAGTAGATGAATAAAGAATCTTTACATAAGATAATCTTCGTAGTTATAAATCAAGCATTATAATATAAAAATTAAAACGGAAACCATATAAAGAATTTGGTTATTTTAGCTTACCATTGTCACATTTATCGTGATACTCGTACAGTACAAAATGGCAAAATCTCATTGGTCAAGTAGACACCAATTGAAAATATATCAAAAAATTTAAGATAGAGTTAACATTAAGAAAAAATATGCTAAGAAAATTACCATTTGCAGCTGAATATCAGACAGTTATCTGACAACAAATCAAATTTTGCAAAAACAAAAATGGACTAATATATTTAAACTCGACACCCTGGAAAACCATTTAAATCATATTTTCTGCACACCAGTAACCTCGTATTTTGGATTTTCCATTCCAATGCTACCATATCACTGGTCCAATAGAGATTTGGGACCATTGCAGAAGGGGGTTGAAGTAATTCGAGCAATAGTAGTCATTGGCCTCCTCCTGGAAGAGAGGATGGGCAACCACTATTAATTAATACTGGTCTACTATTAATATTTGAAAAGTGATCCATGTTATGATGCAGGTTGTGATGCAAGTGATCAAAGTTGCTAATCTTAATGCCCAAAAGACTTCATATAATTTGTTTAAATAAAAAAAACATCTTGTAAAAATATGAGAATAATTGCTTTTATGTGATGACAAAGTGTTTAAATTTTGGCAACAGATTGTATAAACTATGCGAGAAGTATGTTCTCATAAATATCACATTTTCAGAAAAATTATTGAGTTGCAATTTGAAAAAACTGAAGCCTATAAATTCCACCTGTCTGACTGTCCTTCCTTAATCTCGAAAACAGAGTTAGATAGAGAATCAAGACCAGATACGGAAATCTTAAGGCCCCAATTAACTGAAGAACTTCTGATGCAAACCAAAAGTCACATTACTTCAATTCAAAAATTTTTCCTGAAAAGAGTTAGTTAGATTTCCTGTTAGCAACAGAATTGTGCTGGTTAAGTATGATTTACAGGGGCAAGACACTGCTAAAACAGTTGAGAATATCATGACAAAAATTTGCAGCCCAGCATTATTACGATGTCACAATAAATAATTGCTCATTAGAATTAGTTTGGTTATGGCAACACAACACATGGGCGATCTGCCACAAGGGGATGCATCCCAGGAAGACTTTAATGGGAAGTTTGACTCTATTTAGGGATTACTAATGTGTAGAAAACCTGGAAAATTCCTCTTGGCCATGCCTCAACCCACAACTAATTAACTACTAGAGTTCGGTGCTTTTATGCACTTGGTTACTGGGAGCTTATTAGAATTAAGAAAGTACATAAATAAATCAGAAATGAAAAAATCCTAGTTGTTAAATATGGAAAATTAAATTCTGACAGTATAGGCTTATCACAATCTAAAAATTTTGATTTCACGTTGGCAAGTGCTATTTGCTACCTGTTGCAGTAATTATATAGGGTGTCTATTTTGCACTATTTCATTGTTGCAGTGGTTAAGTGTATATAATTCTCACAAAAAGAATATATAAATTTTAAAAATTATATCCTTTTTTGTTAGAATTATATTTAGTTTATTATTTTGCTAACTTTTTTCCAATAGATGCCACTACATTTAAATTAGCAAATCAAATGTAGATAGAAAGTGATTTACAGAAATCCAATAATATGTTGGAGTGCCATGTACATTATTTAAGTTAGAAGTATTTGAACGTAACTACTGAATTTCATATCAATTGGTGGAACAGCCTAGGTCTGTATAGCGAACAAACATGCTCATTTATATAGATGCACATTGCTTATAAACTCAATTTGTACCAGTTACTGTGAAAGACCAATATCTGGCAAATGTTGAGATTCACCACAGTCGTTTCGTATATGTATGAAATATTTGCTAAATATCATTATTTCTCACTTACACCGGCAAATGTCGACATTCAGCATGATGGTGAATGTTGAATAAAAATATTTTTATTACATTAAGACAAAAATGCAACTTTTTAATATGTCAAAATAGGAGAAAGCTTAAGTAACAGC